GAAAGAAAGGGCTGAGCTCATGTCTGAATGTGCATTACCCCAGCATGGCCAAACACTGTTACAGTCACCAAGGAGAAGAGGAAACGATGCAGACACTGCAATTAAAAACAAAATCTAAAAATATCTAAAAAGAAGGAGGGATGTTATGTAAAGAGGTTAATGTGAAAGGAAAAAGCAGTGACTTAAAAGGGGGAACTGGTAAGTCCCTCCTGCTCACCTCAAAACGGTTGGTATTTAAACTGTAGAAATTGTTCGTGCTTTGAGTAAAGTGCTGTTTCTGCTGTATTTAGCAAAGGCAGATGAGAAGAGACAAGGACTCTTCCTGCAGTATTTCTGATGGCTCAGGAAATGACAAGCCAACTAACTTTTTTTTATGTCTTCAGATATACAAACTGTTTCAAAACCTCATAAAACAATAAATATTTAAAATCTAGATAATGAAAAAATGCTAGAGCGTAGCACTGGGCTTTTATTCAGATGAATAAAATAGCTAACCTGTTTCAGTTTATATTAATAGAATCCAATCTGTATGTACATCTATATGGACAGATAAATTTATGTAAGACAACTATATTTAAAAGTACTTCTTAAAAGAAAGAAAAAATTATGAATGGTACAATTAAAATTATCCAAACATGTATTTTATCTTAAACTTTTATTAGACAGCAGATGAAATTGAATCAATAGTGTAGTGTGAATTAAAACGGATAATTTCCTACAGGTCCTGTGCACCTCTTGTGCATAATTCTATCACACATGTATCTACTTTGCCCTCAGAATATCACTCTGTGTTTGATGAAGTAGGCTCAGGATACCTGAATGACTGGGTAAGTCCCAGTAATAGCTTCTCTAGGGTAGTAACCATGACTTTTTTAAAACAGGAGTAAAGCTTATTCTTTACAAGAGGATGGTCAAAGGACCTATCAGAAATGTTAATACATTTGAGAGTTTATTTGCTGCTAATTCTACTATCTGGAACAGCAAAGCTGCATTTAAAATTGGTTTTATTTAAAAGAACAGTAGTACAAGTAAACAAAAATTCAAAGCCCTACCAAAACAAAATACTATGTGATTACTCATTTCTTCTCCTGTGTGGAAGAGGAGGGAGCAGATGCTATTTAAGTGACATATTGCACTTAGATGCCCTCAGATACGTACTAGAGAGAGCATGTAAAAACTTACACAGAATGCGTAGGATAAAGTGAATAAGGAAGAGGCAGCAGCATCCTTGCTAAATTTGCTCTTGTCCCTAATTTCCCCTAATGGTGGGATGTATAGTAGTAACTGCTGTGGGCTTGTGGACAGGTAAGATGCACTTTACAACAGGGTGTAAAGCCAGTGCAGTTTGCCGAGCTGTGCCACTAGATGGAGGCAGATATCGCGTAGTTCACGTCTAGTAAGCAGGGTGAGGTGTGTCAGTAGCAGCCTTTTTCCCCAAGGGAGAGGTCCTGTATGCAAATGGAAGTGCAACAGGAGCTCCGCAAAAGATAGGGTGCTGCTGACAACTCATCAGTGGTACCTTTGCCCTCTCTGAGGACAAAAATCCTGGCTTGTCCTTTGTTTCACATGTTGTGGAGATGGTAGCTGAGTGCTGCTGCTTCTCGGAGATGCCTCCTTCAAGACACAAGGGTGCCTCACTCCCAGCTTGTGCTGGTCCTGCTGCGGGCTAGTCAGCTCGTGTGCTCACTGGAAGCTGTCTCCCAGATGTGTCACATTGTCAGGACAGTCTTCCTAGGAATACACCTCTGGAGTTTTATCCCATTCATCTCAGTTCATATGGAAATTAATTTTACACTAGAAAACAGATCTGCTTCTTTCAGTCAAGTATTTGTTCTCATGCCTTCCTCATTTGTCAGTGCAGTGCCTTCTCCAGCATGGTGCATGGATTGTCCCATGTGGCCTTAGGAACGGTTCTTTCTGCACAGTCTTTCCTCTGATGATGTCCGTCTTCTATGTCTATTTTCTCTTTAAGAAGCACTAGCAAGTGACTTGAGCTCAATAAAGAACATGGTGTGCCTTTGTTTTGTGCTATGTTCCCTGTGGGAACTTTGGCCAAGAGAACGGGCTGCTTTCTGTCAACATTGCATCTTTTCAGGACCCCTCAGGTCAATACAAATTGGTCGAGCACCCACATAGGCCATGGGGATCACTAGTCCCATTCTTCATAGTTTTAAATGCAGTCTGGGACCTGGCCCTCTATTTTTCTCATGCCTCAAGACACCTGTGCCCTCAGAATAATATCCACTTAGTACTAGCTACTTCATCTTTGAGCTTCACTTGGAAGAAATGGCTAGTAACTGATGGGAGTGTTTTCAAACTTCCGTCTTACCAGAGGTAAGAAACCTTTCTAAGGGGAAGCGCTTCAAGGAACCATGCTTTATACCCTACCCTTACATATCCTTGACACTCTGAATGTCTGTCAGTGGCTTATTTCAGCCATCCCAACATTTGTTTCTGCTTCTTGCAGCAGATATTATTAGGTTAGATGGACTGAACTAGCAGGAGTTCTTTATGGAATAAACTGCTGTCCATCTGGCCAGTCTGGAGCTCTAATTCCCTCTCCTCCCTTCTTCAGCTGGTTACTCCCTCTCCTTATGGAGGAGGTGGCTGTAGGGATGCTCCCTTGCTATTGCTGGAGGCAATTCCAAGGCAATCACAGAGCAGTAGGGATCCCATGGATGGTGAAGATCCTTTTTCTGATGCAGCTTATTCTGATGCACTTACCTTGAAGGTAAAGTGTCAGCTAGGAAGCGAGTGATTAGAAGAGGTCAGAAGGAAAGCAGAAAAAGGTACTTTCCCAATGTGACAGACAGGAATTCACCTTCATTCCTTGTAACTTGTTTCACACCCCTTCCAGCTCCAGGGAGGCAGGAGGAGCAAACCACAGAGATCAGCTGGTGCCAGAAACTTGGCTGGGAATTAGGCCTGCCTTGGGAGGTGTATTAGCGTTTAGATGCTAACCTAGGAAATGTTTATGTTTAGTGGCTGAGAGAGCAGAATGTGAGTCTTCTGAGTAGAGGTAGATTAAAATTGCCTCTCCTCCTTTCCACCTGGCCCTTGAATTGCAAAAGATGCCACCACTTTCTTGTGTCCCACGTTGCCCATGAGCAAACTTCCTTCTTTTGGGTGTCCTGCACCAAACCTGGGTCTGAGCAAAACTTTTTCCCAGTGGAAAAAGTGGACTCAGAGCCTTGCATCACCAGACAGCAGCTCTTGAAATAGAAAAGGCTTTTGAATAAAGGCTGAGAAATGCTGTCAAGCTTTTGAGACACTAGATCTTTGTGTACATTTGACAAATGCATTGAGATAGAAGAAGCCTTCTCTCCCCATCAGGGAGCATAAAAAACTCCTAATAAAGAAACCATTAGTCCCATAAGAGTTTATTCTGCTAAATATGTAAAAAAGCTCCAGTGTTTGTAGAGCAGTGCCTGTGTGCAAAGTAAGCTTTTCACATCCTTCCCAACCTCTCCAAGGCCTGAGCCCAGTGGAGGCTTTGAAGTTTCTCAGGTGACGCTTTGCTCAGGAGGCCAGGAAGGCATGGCCGTTTTCTTCTGGGATTGAGAGATGTGGATGCATTTTCCCATGTCATTTCAGCTCTTCAGTTGTGGCAGGAAGACAGGCATCCCATCCCGCAGCAGAGAGCAGCTCAGACCCCCAGGACAACTGGCCAGCTCCAGCAACCAAGAGGTTGTCCTAGTGTTTTCACAGCCTATCTGTGCTTGTTTTTCGTTTTCTGGCAATGTGGAATTAGTCTTCCAAAGGAGAGAATGAGAATTCCTGTTTGGGTTGTTGGTTTTGTTTTTTTTTTTAAATTTTGAAATACCTGAGAGGTGTTTGAATATCACAGTGGACAATGGGAATCCTGTTCCACTGCTTCTCAAACCTGCTTCTCTGGCAAGGCAGGGAGGACATGAAGTTGAAAAGCTGTTCCCTTTGGGAAAGTATCCCAGCCTATGCTGAAGGAAGCACTGTGGAGACCATCTTCTCTATGTGTGAGCCGTATGGGAAGCACACTGTGATTCTGAGGAGGTAGCAGTAGGTGCTGTGAAGGGCCAGGACATGCATGAGAACTGAAAGCAAGCCAGGAACAGGGGTTGTAACTCCAGCAGTAAATACACAGAGGCCCTTTAGGTACCTGTACCTCTATTCAGAAAGATATTTGTCTGTCTGTCTGTCACACATGCAGGAGTTATTTAATCCCCCAGTGAAATGCCAGAAGAAACAAATAATTAGACAACAAAGTATGTAAGTTTGGTTTTTTTTTTTTAATTATTAGGTGAAATTGTATAAAGTGCAAATAAATCAATATGAAAATTCAGGAGAGAAAGTGCAGTCCAGGAGTTTACCACTTTAATTAGTTGAGGATTAAAATTGTTTTGGAACACCAAAACAAACAGATGTGAATTCTTTGGTCTTTTGAAGCACTTTCTTCAAGAGTTTGATGGCTTTCTTCCTGTGGGAAAGAGGGACAAAAGATAAGAGACTGTACTGGAAATGGAAAACACAGACAGCTATGTTTTATTCCTAGTGTTCCTCTAACATGCCCTGAGGAAGGTGGTGCCTAAAGTTTAGGCACTTGGCAAAGTTTACCCCACGGTGTCAATTCTGGTTATGCTCCATTCCTACTGCTGAGTTGTTTCTGCCTTCACTGAACTGTTCCATTGACTTGGTAAGTGGTAAAGTATCCCTCTTTTCCCTGCCAGTAGCCCCACTCACTGAAACAGCTCATGTGCAGAGCAAGGTCCACAGGATTTGTTTAGCAATGTAGGTGTGCATAAGACAGTGTGCCAGGCCACTGCACTGCTGCTCCGTCACCCCTTGGTTGCAGTGGGTACACACTACAGAAGGAACATAGTAGATGGAGTATACGGGAATGTGTTTTTCCCAAGTTTGTTCCCCTTCTTTCTTTTTGGTAGTATGATGAGGCCCTAGCAATGTGGGAGAGCAGTGAAACCTGTACCCCAGTAGCTTTGAAAATCAAATCTCATAATGAATTTTACCGTATAACTTCTGAATTCCTCTCCTATCGTCCTCTGAAAGTCTGAAGGTTGCTGGGTTCACATATGAGTACGTGGGGTACATCAGAGCTCCACGGACATTTGAATGAGCAAGTCCCAAAGAATGGCCAAATTCATGTGCAGCAACAAGGAACAAATTAACTTCTGTAGCACAGAAGCATAGAAAAGTATGTTAAATGTATGGCATTTCTTTTTAGCATACAAAGAATTGAAGTAGCAGGAGAATTTATATCTTTCATTCCCTTGGAATGAAACCTCAAGGTTTTGATTGGTTATTACTGAACTCGCTTAAGTAACAACATTTTAATAAAAACATTACTGATCCCTTGCATACATATCTAGAGACCCTGAGTCTCTTTCCAACTCTGCTTTTAGTCAACCCTATTCCTACAAGCAAGTCATTTTACCTTTTCATAATTTATGTAGAAAACAGAGGCTCATAGTCAGTCCTTGTTTAGCCTGTGAAAAGTGCTTTGAAATATGGACAGAACAGACATTATGTAGCTGCTAATGATAATAAAGCACAAGTACTTAGAAAAGTAATTGAAAAGAACAGAAATGTTGGTACTCAAGCATGAAGAGTTATGGAAAGCATTTCCTATGGCTGTGTTCTTCTAACATGTACAGTATTTGCCTTTCCCCTTCATACACACATGTGGGTTTTACCTTGATTGAACTCTGACCACCTTTCATCATCGTCAAAATGAGCATCTCCACCAATCCCTTCTCCAGGTGCAAACGCATGAGCTAGTGTGTTACCTCTTCCATCAAAAGGATACCCATCACCATGCTCTGCATTTGAAAAGAAGTAAATGTCATCAGATGGCATCAGCTGTAACGTTTAAATTCAGCAAATTGAGGCATGTTTGTGCTAGTTTTGTTCATTACCAATCCTTAAAAAAAATTCCTGTGATAGCAGCAAGGTTGTAAAAATGAGGAGCAAGACTTAGGAAACACTCTCCAAATTAATGATTTGAGTTCAAAACTTGTATATGATAATTCAGGCTGCTGTGTGTTTCAGAAGAGGCTGAACATTTTTTCTGAGCCTTTGGCAGAAATGTGGTTCTGAGGCAGCAATCAGAGATTATTTCAGAATAAATAGTTAATGCTTGACAACATTATAAGCACATGAATGTTTTCAATGTTGGAAAGTTCTGGGCAACATCGGTGGTAACCATTCTCATTTGTACTGATTTTAGTGGAAGACAATGATTTGGGATAGATAACCATGTTCCTGAAGAGCTAAGTTCATTTGTCGCCAGCTTTGGGGTACAGTCTATTACCTACTTCTATCACAGTGTGTGTGGAATGTTACCATTTCCTACCTTGAGTGCAAGAGCTGTCAGGATGGTATATTTCTACCAGCTCTGAAAATTTCCCCCTACGTCTTACTGAGCCTCTGACTTGATGAGGAGTATTTGGGGACTCAAATGCTTTCTGTATTTTTTCCCCCAGACCATGTGAATGGACTTTGGGGCAGGACTAGCACAGGCAGAAGAGACCTAGTCCTAGTGCATGATGAGGGATTAAAACCTGTTCCAGCTTACAGGAACCTTTCTTGCTTTGACTGGCACATTAGTTGACTCTTCACGGCAACATAATATGCTTCCCATCAGTGAAGCATGAGCTTGGGACATTTTGGAGTCTATAAGCAGTGATCTATCTCTAAACCAGGTGTCTGATCTTCACTTACAGTCAATGGAGATCTCATAAATATTGTCAGTGGATCTAGAGTACAAGTCAGCTAACCTTAAAGTAGGCATTTAGTTTGGCTAAAATGAGTCAGTTTAGGTGCCAGGCAGAAGTTAAAGGTATGGTTACGTTCATTTATTAGTCTGGATCACAAGTGAGCTTCTGAAGTGACTCTACTGGTCATCCGTATTTACTATGCTTTGGCTTACACCTTGGTGCAATCTTGGAGTGCACCAATGGGATTCCTTCTAGAAGAAAATCAACCAGAAGATGCTCTCTATGGCCAAACATAATGCATCCCTGCTGCCAAAGACTGTTTAGTCCAGGGAACCAGACTAGACCTAGACAAAGTAAACCTGCCTGAATCCAGCATGTGGAGGACGGATCTTCAGAACCAGCTGATTTGCTCTACAGCATCTGTTCCCATTAGTTTGCACTATTTGTCAAAGCAGACAGAGCCTTGAACCTCTAAATTTAGGTGTCTCATTCTGGAGCTGAATTCTCCCCCTGTTTCACAGCTGTAACTCTGAAAGGATTGTCTAATGGTTTCCTAGGAGTAAAACTGAATCATAACATATAAATTTGGTGGCAAGATAAAGAGAAAGTAAAATTTATGCAGAATTCAGAATAATTCCAAAATCTCTGTCCTGTCTTAAAGCTATAAAAGTACATGCTTTGAGTCAAATATGGACCATTGCATTTTAAAAATGATAGGTATTCTTACCACGGCGTGCAAATGCAATCACAATGTCTGCATATCCATTGAAAACTCTTTGGAACTTCAGCGGAGTCACATCACTCCATACCATAAAAGCCCTTTTAATTGCATCATCCACTTTCTTTTGGGGTAGATCAGGTGTATAATTGACAATCCTGGCAGCAAAAGGAAACAGATTAATGTCATTTAAGGTGTGAAGGAAACCCACATAGTTAAATACAAGGCAACCCCTTTCCCCATAAAACCTGAAATATCACTAACTTGTAAGTCAAATGTGTCTTCTTCCATCTTGGATTTCCTGGAAATGTTTTGTAATCTGCTATATCAGCGACTCCACATCTGGGCTGTTTCATTATTTGTTCTGTTTCTGCATTTAATTTTCCAGTTACAGTCAGGTGGAAAAACCTCTGCATTTCTTTAATCCTCTCTTCGAAGCTTAGGCTTTTTGTTTTTTTAAGAATTGGAAAGAACTTATCAAGATATGCCTGGAATAAGAAAAAGAAAATTAAAATTCATATGTCTATCTGTGATCTTTTGGTAATTGCATTTTACAGTTGATTGAATTGTTTCATCACCCTGCAGTCATGGCTAGTTTTAGATATACTTTTTCTTCCCATTTGAATTTACCATAAGCTGTTCTCTCTGTAGTGTAGTTTAGCATATATAAAAAGAAATGCAATATTAGTGAAACACTGTAAGCAAGCACAATTTACTGAGATTTCAAATCAGCAGTCTTCCAACGTAGTCTACATAATATTTTTGAGATGTTTTAAAACTTACATGCTCCCCTTTATTTACCAGTTGGAACATGGTCTCTTTTGTAAGTTAAGACTTAGGGTGTCTAAGCTAGTCAGCAAGTTTAGATTGTTTTATGTCACCTCTGCAAAAACTGTTGTGATAATGTAAGATAATAAGATAATATAAACAGATAGGAAAGGAATGTAGACGTTGAATCAAAAATCAGGTTATTCATATTGCGGTTATGTTGTCCCTCTGGTAACATACCTTCGCATTCTCCAAGTCTGTGTTGCTCCATGATTCTGATGTAGGTTGTACTGGAAAAGCAAGACTCTCAGGTAGAAGGATGGCAGCACAAAGTAGGAGGTATTGCATCGTACCCAGCTTGCAAAGGAGCCTTGCTACAGCAAAAAGGGTTTGACCTTCTGTCTCCCAAGACGACAGCTAAAATGCTTATATAGATCCTGATAGCTCCAAGTGGCAATTATGTGACTCACTTTTGGTGGTGTTAATGTAATGTCATCACTATTCTAAGAAGTAAATGAAAGCATGTTAAACAAATCTTTTCTTTGACTTCCCTGTTGATGTCATGTCACAGCCAGTAGCCAGCTTTGGCTCTCTCTTTTTGTGTTATTCGAGTGGTGAAACCACAGGGTCATAGGGAAGTTCACTTTTTGTAACTTCATCAATACAGTTACTGTATAATCAGCTCTTACTATGCTTCCCCTGATTTCCTTATACACAGAGGTGTTTTGCAACAGCCTTTTTGGTCAGACAGCCTACTTGTACTGGTTGATGCAGAGGCAGAGATGAGATGGATGGGAGTGCTATCTCACTGAAACTACTGGCATTTCCTAGGCAGCGTGCACAATACTATCTAGGTAGTTTTTCTGATTCAGATTCTTTTGTGAGGTATCCTACGCTACATGAAATACAGTTCAGTGAAGTTAAAGAGGTTTCTGCTGTTTTTACAGAGATCAGAAGAGAGCTCTTCAAATGTGCACTCTAGAAACAGGAGGCCATGGGAAGCCTTTGTCCCTTTCCTCCCAAATGAGATGGCTTTCAGGAGAGTCTCTTTACATTGGAGAACTAGATATAAAACATAATTTACAAGAATGTGTGAAAGCCCTCAGGAAAAAAAAAGAGAGGAGCTTACCCTAACAAACACGGAGCTATCTTTTAACTCCAGCTGTAGCAGTGCAATCTGGCAGAGGTCCATGAAGCACTAGCAGAGAAAACCAAAGTTGAGCAGCGCAGCCACAACCTCCCTGGTCCCCCGCATACCAACACTGGTCTCAGCTTCTCTCCACCAAACCCCACTGGAACTGATAATTTTTGAGGACTGGAAACACCAGCCCACAGACTGGCTTGTGATTTTTTTCAGGCTGTGCAGTTTTGTGACCATTTTACCTCTAATCTGAAAGGAAAGGTGCATAAATGGGAAAAAAACATTACTGTTTCTCACAACAGGACAGCTCGTATGAGTATAGCTGAACATGTATGGAAGAGTTTGTGGGCTACTAGCTTAAGTACAATGTACTTCTGACTGATGTGATGAGAAAGACTTCAGAGAGAGATGATCTATACCAAACACTGGTGAATTATGGAGGAGAAGACTACATTTTGGTCCCTGCTATACAAAAAAGATGTGGACAAGCTGGAAAAGGTCCAGAGAAGGGCCACGAAGATGATCAGAGGACTGGAAGACCTGACATATGAAGAAAGGCTGAGAAAACTGAGTTTGTTCAGCCTTGAGAAGAGAAGGCTCAGGGGAGACCTTATTACCATGTACCAGCACATAAAGGGTGGCTACCAAGAAGATGGAGACTCCCTTTTAACGAGGAGTCACATGGAAAAGACAAGGGGTAATGGATACGAGTTAATCCTGTGCAGATTCCAGAAGAAACTTTTTCACCATGAGGACCATTAGACATTGGAATATCTCCCAAAGGAAGTGGTGGATTCCCCTACATTGGACAGTTTTAAGACTCAGCTTGACAGGGTGCTGGGCCATATCATTTAAACTATATTTTTACCTTGAAAGGTTGGACTAGATGATCCTTGAGGTCCCTTCCAACCTGATATTCTATGACTCTATGATTCTGAGAGACATTACACAGTAATGTCTGAAACAGTTATTAAAGGAACGATGCTTCCACCTGATACTGAAAACAGCCCAGATACCCACCATGTGATCATTTCTGTACATTTTGATAGGCTTACAGGAAAACTGTTGATGTCCAAATTTTAAAACTTGATGAAAAAAAGCTGGTTTGTTATTAGGAGCAGGTTCATATTTTTCTTCCTCAACAACTGACTTTGTGTCTGACTATTGTGGTAAAGTAGGATCTGGACCAGGGTCTGGGTGGCAGGAGATGAGGATGTGTTTAAAGCACTTTGAACTCCTTGACTCTAGTGTGTGGTACTGATTATTTCCCCATATACACAAAAGGAATTTGAAAGCCTCCAGAGCCCCATTACAGTTGACAGACTATTGAGCAACTCACATATATTTTTAACTGGGCCATATGCAAAGCTGCAAAGGAGAGTCTAAAGAGAAAAGCTTGCTGAGAAAGGACAGGCATCATGTTTCATTTTATTTTGTGCTGGAAATTTGTCAAGTCCCCTCCTTTTTTTTTTTTCTTCCAAAATTGAGAGAGGATTTTGATGAACATTAGGCTTGAATTGAAATAATAAAAAAAATCCATTAAATGAATTTTCATTTCTTTGGGCTCAAAATCAGCAGGAATCAATCTAATTCTAATAACATCAATATCTAAAGGAAACATGCTGATTTTTAGAGTTAATTTTGTGAATTTTGCAGACTGTCTTTCTGTCTTGATCTCGAGTGACAAAAAACTGTTGTGGGTCAGGAAAAATAATTTCCTGCCTAAACATCATAGCCATATCATTTACATTCAGCAAAGAACCTGTGCCTGTGTCAGAGAGTATGGCCCATGTAGAGAAATTTCGAAGCGGAAAGAAGAAACGCTGTTAGAGATATTTAATAATAGAAGTTACTGTAGCCATACAGTGAAAATAAAAGTGCTCCATGATGTAAAATTCTATTAAGGAGACTCACAATACTGCCACTGAAATGTTTACACTGTCACATTTTCTGAGGTGAGTAACCCTGCTTTGAACAAGGATGCTTCTTGGAACTACGTCCTATGCAGAACTAATTGCTGGGCATCAGAGCTTTTGTGGTCTAGAGAAAAATACATATAGAAAGTAAGACCTAAGCCTCCTCTGGACGTGACTGGGATGAAAAAGTGAAGTAGAACTGAATGATTCAGTGGTGAGTGATCAATGTTTCTTGGACATTTGACTTGACAGGAGGCTCGGCTGGATTCTGCCCAACCTGAATGCAGCCAACAGTGGAGTCAATGCATGTCAAGAGCTGCTCAGATGTCTTTGTGGATGTAATGGGTCTAGCTGGGATGGAGTTAGCTTTCTTCATAGCAGCCTGTGTGGTGCTGTGTTTGGATTTGTGGCCCAACCAGTGTTGATAAGACACCAGTGTTTTGGGTATTGGTGAATAGTGTTTGCACAGCATGAAGGTTTTGCACTCTGCCCCCACAGTGTAGGTAACAGGCTGGGTGGCAAAGAGACTGGGAGGGGACACAGCTGGGACAGCTAACCCAAATTCTCCAGAAGGGTATTCCGTATGATATAATGTCATGCTTAGCAATAAAACTGGGCTAGCAGAAGAAGAAGGTGGAGTGAGGGTTGTCTTCTGAGGTAGTCTTTGCCTGGAGACTGGCTGGACATCAATCTGCTTGCAGAAGGTGGTAGCCTTTGCATCACTTCCCCCCACGCCTTTCTTCTGCTTATTAAGCTGTTTGTATCTCAATCCATGAGTTTCCCCTCTTTTGCACTTCTTAATCTCTCGCTCATCCCACTGTGCATGGGGAGTGAGTGAGCAGCTATGTGGGTGATTAGCTGCTGACTGTGATCTTCTCACTATAGTGAATATCAAGCAAAAAAACCTCCTGGGAAATGTTTTGTTTGGGTCAGTTGTGAATTATGCAATACTGTATTCAAGGTCCTACCAAACTGGATAGACCTGGATTCTTATAGTCACCAGGACACCTGATTTGTTTTGTTCTGTTATATGATTATTCAATCTAACAAAAACAGAATTCAAACATGGCAAGTATTTCTGCAGGGTGGTAAAATCGTTTTTTGCATTGCAATTTCTTGAGGCTAAGTCCAGTGAGGCACAGTCTGCTTAAGAACCTTCCTGGTATTTTTCCACAAAATGAACCTTCCTCTTCCTTCTTGCCTCAGCTTCGTGTGTGTCATGGGTTGAGGTCAGCATGGCAGGCTCCCTTTGGATGCAAAATGGTCTCTGAGCAACACAATTAGAATGGCCTCATGGTTGTTACAGCCCATTTTTCTTGGCTGGGGCCTAGGCTGTAGAGGCCATGTCTTCTGCACTCCATTTCCATAGATTTTACCCCTGAGGGGGCTCCTTCAAAGGAGTCCCTTGGCACCTGGAATCCAGGGCTATGTATCCCTTTTTCAGGCTGTGTGAGGGTAAAAAACATCCCTGCCTGGGCACCGAGGTCCTGCCGGGGACCCTCAGCACTGCATCAGCCTGTCCTTGGAGGGAGGCAATCCAACTCTTCTGTCCCGTTTGGCTGGATCAAGATGCATCCTTTTTCCCAGAAGGATCTACCTCATGTCCCACTGCTTTAGGGGAGGAAAGGCCCAAGGAAGGGATTAGTTGTTCAGGTTCAGCACAAACAATGTGACAAGAACTAACATGTCTAAGTTAATAATACTTAAGCAATCAAACTTAACGTATCTCAACTTGTGGATTTACTATCTTCTTACAGTGTCTAGAATTGATTGGCATTTAATGACTTTGTATTTACAACAATTTAATTGGGCTATCATGTGGGAAAAAAATGTAAATATAGAGAAAAGTTTTTACAATAAACCACAAGGGAAATTGCATTCCTGCAAATGTTACCTACCTGTGTTAATTCTGACATCCTCCATTTTTTTAATTTGCCTGCTCCTTTGGTCAATGATCAGGAGTCTCTCCTTCCTCTAGCTAACAGACACACGTGTATATCTCAAAATTTTGCATATAATAATTTATTTTATTCAATATAAATTGAAGTAATAAGATATAACCTTTGGGTGCACACAGACTTTCCTTCCTCTGGAAGCACACGTACAGGCCACGGGGAGGGGAGGAGGGCAGTAGGTCAGTCAGCTGCGTTTCACTGCGGTGTGGATCCAAACCTTGCTGAGTAGGAGCAGCGGCATATCTTCCTATAGTCACCTTTCATTTGTGAATTCCCTTTTTGTAGCTGGCTGTCCCCATCCATTTGTAAGTCTGGATCAACACTATCTTTAAAGGA